GCACACAGCATTGCCATTTTAACCTCCGCATTTATCACCTGGTTAATGTTGTAAGTGACCTGCAGACTACTGCGGGTGGCAGTTCTCGCGAGGCTACTGACAGTTCAGTTTGGAGAGGCAGAGGAATTTTTTTTCAAATGATATTATAATACGGGAGATTTACGGGAAAATACTAATACGGGAGGACGGCGGGAAAGAGGGGTAAAATATGGTAGTTTCCCGGCCAAAACAGGAGACTTGACAGCTATGGACCCAACTGTATCCAAAGCAGCAGAGGGCACAGACCTAGTTGCATGTGTTGATTTATTTGCTTTATGTTATTACCTTTAAGTGGACACTGCAACGGAAAACTACTCCTTACAAAAATTAGCAAGTATGAAATATGAAAACTGGCATTTCCATCCCCTGGCTTTGCAACATGCACTTCTAAGTTCTCTGCAACTCTGTATGGCAATGTTTCTCAAACCGGTCTGTAGCTGGGAGGGAGCAAAAATCTGGACTGTTTGGGGGTCCCAAGCACCAGGTTAAGAAACACAGCTGTAAAGGGTAAGAGGTCACTTATGACAAATGTATAAATGGACAGATGGATGGATTCATTGATTTACAACTTCATGAGATGAAATGCAAGAAATTTAAAACAATCACATGCAAAAATAATTTCTCTGTTCACAAAATCCAGTTCATTTCTGCATAGAAAAGTAGTTGGCAATCTTACTTTTGAGCAGAAAAACAGTAAAAATGAATTAACAGTACAATTTAGCTGCAGGGCCTGCCACCACAGGGCTCGGTTCAGCTTACAGCTACATTAATTGGAGATACTTCATCAAAACTTTACTGAAAGTTTGTCAGCAAACAAGTTTATCACATTTTCTAAAATACCTTTCTTCTTGTCTAATGCTACAAAATCTCAAGCCCAAATATTACATAATTACAGTATAATTTTACCCTGAATTCTTAAAGCCAGCATTCAGTAATATAATCCGCTTCTCATACTTCATACTTTAAACAGATGCCTCACACACATGCACAAGCACAAGCTCACCTTTACAGAAGACTGCAAATCGGACACAGTTTGTACTCGATTCCCAGTGTCTGGATCCCACATCTGAACAGAACATTCAGGAATGCTTAAAGAAACACAGCACATTAAAATCCCATAGTAATATAAGATTTAAAACCTAATAATCAAGACCACCACCAAGGGGAACCTTCTGCAGACCCCCCTGTGACCACCCCCATATGAGACCGTCGAGATTTTATTTCAGAAGCGAAACTACTGAAAACCGCGGTACCCTACTGGACCCTAAGCAGTGTAGCCCATGCCCTTAGCAGTGTAGCCCATGCCCTTAGCAGTGTAGCCCATGCCCTTAGCAGTGTAGCCCATGCCCTTAGCAGTGTAGCCCATGCCCTCAGTTTGCAGGGTGAACTAGTTTGCACCACAACGCTCCTAAAAGAACAGGTTTGTAAAACCTTTAAATGACCGACTTTAAATGTGGTTTATCCCAATTATTCTTCTTGCATTTAAATTAATTACATATATTTTAAATTAGTTATCAATGTTCCTCTTCAAACACACTGGAATGGAACAAACAGATTATTATTATTATTATTTTTATTATTATTATTATTATTATTATTATTATTATGTCTTGGTGTTTGAGGCACCCCATGAAAATCATTGGCCACCCCACTGAGAAATTTCAGCTGGTACCCCTGCTAATAATCCTGCTGGATTACTACCTACATTTTTAAAAAGCACACATGTTCATTTGTTTACCATTCGTATTTGCCTAAAAATTCTGTACACAGTCTATACTGCATCTTCCCACTGTAAAATTCAACCTCACCACATAAATGGAGTCAGTCATTCTTCAAGTGGACCATTATTCATTTTTTTCTTGAAATATTTAGAGCCATTAAGCTGAAATGAGTATGTAAGTGGAACTGCTAGTTTGTAAACTTTTGCTTTGGCAGTGACAAATCTCAGTGCCATGTATACACTATGCAGCAAAAGCGTCCCTGAGCTCAGATTCCACACAGTCCCTGCCTGACAATAATCTCCCTCATCTGGCTGTTTGGTTACAGTTAATTAATATGCACATGGGGTTTTAAATTACTAGGAAGGAGAAACAGAATTAAAAAAAAAAATCACAACTAAATCAAACAAACATGCCTCAAAATCACACCCCAGTTAGACAACACAGAGTGTCTGGGGACTGCTGGGAAAGAGGATACGCTGAGGGTCCGGTCCGAGGAAGCTGTGAGGAGGTCTGTGTGAGGGGCCCACCTGCCCGGTCTGCTGTAGGCCGCCATGGCAGTGATTTGCTGCGAGTGACCCCTCAGCTCCTGGAGACGCTCCCCGGTCTGAGACAAGAGGCAGGGATTCAGTCCTAACATAAGCATATCGTACCGCACGTGCAT